TCCATTTCTGTTTTAAAACATATATAATAGCACAGGCCAGGGATGCACAAGTTTGGGGTACCTGGTAGGGTTTTAATTTAGCATTTCAAACTATAATCTTCTATAATGTTTCACAATAATGCCTCTCTATTTCTTAGCAATATGAGGCAAGCAATTATGATCAAGTGTTTCTCATAGCTAGAGGAATAAAAACTAAGAGATCTGAGAAAATTGGCTAATAAACTGCCAAAGGTCAGAAATAAATGAGCCACATATCCAGCAAGAAGTGCTTAATTTCCTAACACTTAGCTCCTTTAGATCACATGTGTCAAACACAAGGCCCGCGGGCCAAATCCGTCCCGCCAGGCCTTGCAATGTGGCCCGCACCACGCTGTCATCACTGCACTCCGCTGCGTTTCCATCACAATGACAGTTTATGACTGTTCAGTAAACCATTCGGCCCACGATTTAGGCTGGATTTTAGATTTTGGCCCCTTCTCTGATTGAGTTCGACACCCCTACTTTAGATAATCATTTTCTTCTGAGCTTTTCAAAATCCAACAACCATAAGTTTTTCTATACTGTATGACTTCTCAGGACAACCAAACTCCAAAGCACTGTGTACTCAGTGAGATATTAACAAGGACTTATATATATATATATATATATATATATATATATATATATATATATCCTTGTTATATATAGTGGATCTTAGCGATCCTATTTCTTTTATATAGTTAAAAATTGAAATATGGTTTTAGATCCATAGTATTCAGTATTCTCAAGCTCTTTTCCAAATCTCTTATTAAGGAATAAATTAAGCCAATTTTTAGTTTTAAAACTGATTTTTCTTCACTCTAAATTTATAGGTGTATCCTATTTTAAGAATCCTACCCACTAGACAAGGGAATGGTACCTATTAAATCCAAATGGAGATTTAATAAACTTTGCAGCACACCTCCAAGAAACCAGGTAAATATGAGACCTTTGCATAGTTGGATTTGTTTGTTTTTGTGAATAAATGCAGCAAAATTCTTGGTGCATTTAAATCCATGAACTAACAGAGTTTATGCCACTTTGCTCTTATTTCCACACTCCTATCTCTTTCCAATCTATCACTTCTAACTGCTTTATGGGCATTTAGTATTAGGTATTTAAATGTGTGTTTCAGTCACTGCCATTCATTTATTTTTTAAGTCTATAAATACCCACTGGGTGCTGGCTGGGTGCCTGAAGTTGTTTCAGTGAACCAAACAGACAACCCTGCATTCAAGGAACACACCACCCTCTAGAAGAGGAGAGACAGATACTTTCAGATACAATTATTTAAATTACACTTTTGATGAGTGCTTCAAAAGGTAACACTTTCAGGGTATAGAGGATACCTACCCTACACCCCACTCTGGGAGCTCAGAAAGTGTCTTGAGTAAGTGAGCAATTATGCTCAGGCAAGGAAGAGTAGCAGTTGGCCAGGAAATGACGGAGGAAGGAGTTGTGTACAAGCCATGGGAAGACTCTGGGTGGGGGGCAGAGCATAATTAAGAGGCAAGAGTACAGTAAAATAAAATTAGGAGTAAATTGGGGAGAGGGGGAGACAAACTATTTGGGACCTTAAAAACCAAATACAAACAAGAAGCAGCCATTGAAAGATTTTACTGAAAAGAAAGAGAGTCCATTGGGCTTACACTTTTAGATCTACTCTGTAGAAAGTGAAAGGAAGGGGATGGATAAAGTGAAGCATGGAAAGAAAGAACCAGTTGGCAAAGTATTACAGGGGTCTGTGTGTTCAGGAATAATTTAAAAAAACAACAACGGTAAAGCTGTGGGTTTCATTCAAATGTAATATTAACATTTGTCAAAGACTTCAACTCATTAATTAATGAGGGAACCAGTAAGGTGTTAAAACTGGTTCAAAAGAGAATCCAAAATGCCATATGTTTATATAAAGGAAAGGTGAAATAAATTTTTAATAGATAAAAAACAGGTCTCTCCATGGGGGCAATAATCAATTGTCTTGCAAGCTACTTTATGTTTTTATGAATATGTATCATTTGCATCACTATCTACAAGTCACAGAATTGTAGAGCAACTCAAAAATAATGTATGGTAGATAACCCAGATAGATTAGCTGGCAGGGATCCTAGTAATCTTTTCCGCCAATCTTAAATTCTTTCACAGTTTTTCCTAAATCGGGTAACAATGACTTGGCAAAAGGTGTCAATAAAGATGGAGAGGAAGAGACAATTGTTAAATATATAGGGTACTGGAATCAACAAGGACTTGACATTCAAAACTTTGGCTGGGGAGGAAGCCACAAAGTTTTAACTGTTTGAAGGAATTTAAAGCAAATTCCTAAAAGGCAGAAGATGCCATGAGGGTCTGTTGGATTTCCTACCACATGGGACCAGCCTTATTTCTCCAGAGGGGCCCACACCACAGGAAAGCAGCGGACTCGATCAAGAATTCTATTTTAAAGTTCACCACGATATACCAAAGGGCATGGATAAAGTAGGAGTGACATACAATTCATCCCCTTCAACAGAATTTTTTCCTTGTGCCAGCTTCTCAATTACCTAGTGACACCATGCTCCAATCCAACCTTATATCAGCTCTGCAGGAGTTAAGCTGAGCAAGGAGTCTATGGGAATCTCCCAGTCTGTCCTTTTCCTGGTCACCAATGTGGAATCAGTCAGACTTATAGACTTAAGACAGCCAGAAGAAAAAAATAAAAATAAAAATAAAAATAAATAAATATCCTGTCTAATGAAGAGGTAATATGTAAATTGACTGTCACTCCAAAACACAAGATCACCACCCTTATGTGGTCAAAGATGGCCACCAAAGAGAGCCAACAGGGAAGGGCAGTTGTGGGTGATCAGGACAGCAGAGGAGGGCAGTTAGGGGTGACCAGACTGGCAAAAGAGGGTACTTGGGGAAGGGGAGGAGGGAGACCAGACCTGCAGGGAAGGACAGTTGGAGGGAACCATGTCAGCAGGGGAAGGGCAGTTGGGGGAGACAAGGCCTGCAGGAGAGGGTAATTGGGAGGGATAAGGCCAGCAGAGGAGGACAGTTAGGGGCAATCAGGCTGGCAGGGGAGGGCAGTTAGGGGTGACCAGGCCAGCAGGGGAGGGCAGTTAGGGTCAATCATGCTGGCCAAGGAGCAGTCAGGCATTGATCAGACTGGCAGGGAAGTGGTTAGGGGGTGATCAGGCTGGCAGGCAGAAGAGGTTAGGGGTAATCAGGCAGCAGGCAAGCGAGCAGTTGGGAGCCAACAGTCCTGGATTGGGAGAGGGATCCCAGATTGCAGAGGGTGCAGGCTGGCCTGAGGGACAATCCCTCTCCCCTGTACACTAATTTCATGCACCAGGCCTCTAGTTTATATATAGTATATGACGTGTAACATATTCTTCTACTTCATTATATCCAAATAATAATAATGTCTTTGATACATTTGTTTTAGACTCATCCAAATTTCTTTTTGACATCTATTTCTTATTAGAAGTAATCTCAAAGAAATTGTTTCCAGGATCAGCTCAACTTTTAATACTGTTTCTCCAAATGAAACAAGCTTTTAGCATTTGTGTCAATTTACATAACTTCAGCTTTTACTGAGTGGTAACATTACTTGGGCTTTTCAGTGTCTTGGCAATACTTATAAGACTTCTGGAGCAAATAACTTGCATGGAACTTAAAGCCCTGATTTAATGTTAAAAATAATATATACATTATAAGTGTAAAATTTTAAATATCAAGTTCATAAAATCATCTATCCTAGGACTACTGGCAATCAAAGGCATAGAAGGTTGCCTATGCCTCTACAACAAAACAAATTAAAATTTACCAAAACAAAAACAAAACAAAAAAAACCTGTCTGCTTTGGAATAATCCTACACAGAAAACTACCAATTGTGCAAGCACTTCTATATGCTTGACCTTTCTGTCAACGTCAGACAGTTTTTACACTCCTTACATTCTCAGAGGCAAGATAAAATATCCCTCAACAAAAAAACTTGCAAAACCTAAAAATTCATTGCAATCAAATAATCAACTTTAAGTATTGGGATGCGGAGCAATTTTAAACTGCACTGCTAGTCAAAGTAATCTTAATACACTTTTATTTTGCTCCAAAGAAATAGCAATTTTTATTTTCCTAAGCTTTGCAACCTTCCCAAGTAGAATTTTTATAAAATAGCTCAATTAATAGATTTTAGACTATTTTAAATACCATAATGGCATTTCTCTGAGAAAGTTTTTTTTTTTTTCATCTTACTATAGTGTCATCCTACAATCCACTAACCTGAAAATTTTCCTCTCTTCTCAGACTCAGAGAACAAAATTTCCAGTAGCCTCTGGATTAATTACCCAGAGACCCCAGGAGGGAACCACTTCAATAACCAATGGGTAACTCTAATAGGATAAGTTTGAAAATAGTGTTGCGATTCCTCTCTTCAGCTTACTCTGCCCCTAAGCAAAATATCAATCAAAACTTTGATTATAATCCAAGTGGTAAGAAATACTGGGAAAGAGTACAACTTTGGGCGAAAAATTGAGGAAGTTCACAAGAAAAGAACAACATGGTAGGTAAGAATTACTAGCCACAACCAGTGTAAGAATCCCTATACTTTTCTGCACAGGGTAGAATGGCTGCCTGAATGATAACAACTTAATCTTAACCAGCAAATTGAAATCACCTTTTTAGCTAAGTGAACACAAAATTTTCCCAGTGACATGCTCATTTCCTAAATGTACCCAGGATTCAGAGAGGCAAAAGGAACAAACTATTGGCTTAATGTCCAGAGACTGCCAGATGAAAATAAACAGCCCTTTGCACTCTGAACTATTTATACCAGAATTTCCACTTCAACCTATCTTAGAAGACAATAAAAGAAGAATAAATGTAGCTCTCTATTTTTGTTAGGTCGGATTTCATGGGGGTAATTCACTGTGCTTCCAACTGAGCTCCATCAGTCAGAATGAAGCACGTGAATCATCAGAGGGTTTTGGAAAGTCTTAGTTACCTTTGAAAAGCGAGCGTTTATCCATTTGGTAAAGGTTTTCTTCTGCACGTCATTGTGTTCATCTGTGGGAGGGGAAAAGAGAGAGAAGGGAAACGTATGAGACACAGTACGAGATCATCTCTATCCCAGAGAATTTTAGATGGTGCTGCTAAGGCACAGTGATCCCCAGCTAATGAAGAATGTCATGGTTGACGACTCCAGCATTTATAGAGCCCGCTGACACATTTATGCAGCACAGAGAGGCTCAAGCGCCTTTCCCAAGCATCGGTATATTGCCAGCAGCCACGAAATCCACATTTGGCTGAAACCGGTTTGGCTCAGTGGATAAAGCGTCGGCCTGTGGACTGAAAGGTCCCAGGTTCAATTCTGGTCAAGGGCATGAACCTTGGTTTCAGGCACATCCCCAGTAGGGGATGTACAAGAGGCAGCTAGTTGATGTTTCTCTCTCATCGATGTTTCTAACTCTCTAGCCCTCTCTCTTCTTCTCTGTAAAAAATAAGTCATATATATATATATATATATATATATATATAAAATTGTAGGATAGAACTATCATATGCAATACAGACTTGCATTTTAGTAAAATTTCAGCATAATAAAAATGTCAGCATGTTCAAAACAAAATAATATATCCATTAAAAACTAAGAAATTCATTATTTCCCATCTTTTCATATGAGTTCTATGCCTTCCAGAACAAAAACTAGTTCAAGGTTTAGTGTAAGTCTAGTATAAGGTTTACAGTCAATTCCATACCCTATTTTTTGTAGAAAGAATGACATGGCAAGATTTGAATGATCTTGTTCCGTAAGTATGATCTATATATTTTGCAAGTAGAGAAATCAGTATTTAAAAAAAATAATAATTACAAGTTCATTTTTCAAAGCACAAGTGAAAATTGACCTTAAAAAACTAAAGCATCCTGAACTTCTTAAAGATGGGGAGGGTGACTGAGCTGGCTATAAAGAGGCCTGGCAGTATAATGAGAAGATCAGGGGGCTTTAGAACCATACAGACCACATCCCAATGTACTAGCCTGTGGCCTTGGGTAAGCCATCATAAGGGCTCCTAGTCTCTAAGCTCCCATATGTAAAATGTGGATCAATAGCGCCCCGCTCATAAGGGCAGTGTGAGGATTAGTGACTATAAGTGGAAAATACTTGGTACAGAGCTGGAGTTCAATTCTTCTTTGTTCTTGTTATGGTTGTTAGTATAGTATATGTATGAACAAATCAGATAGACATCTATTTTACCCTTACTGTTACTTCTAACCATATCCTCTTCAATAGCTCACCAATGCCCTAATACAACCGGCTGCTTTGTAGAACCTATTTAAGTCCTACAAAGCAGCCTGTTAACAGCCTCTAAGTAGTTCTGAAAGCTGCCCAAGGAGCACCTGGAACAGTGCAGAAAGCTGCTATATACACAATGCTGGTTCCACTACCGTCCACACCACCAGGCTGCAGCAACCCCCTTGCCCCCCACCCGCCCCCTGCGGCATGATAACAGCAAAATAATAACAGAGGAGGCCCCAGTGAGCCCTGCCCTCCATCCACCTATCCATCTGTCCATCTGAAAGGGCTTCCTCCCACCCATTCCTCCTTGCTCAGCTCTAACAACATAATTAGAAATTCACCCCGACACTTCCCCATGTCTGTGGTGTCTTTGGTCCTTACTCTCTTCTGGAAGGAGAGTTTGTAATGAAAAGGTCATTCCTGGAATAAATATAGCAGCAGCTTCAGGAAAGTGCACTCCGATAGATCCATAAGGGTAATTGGAGACTGACTCCGGGACACCTAGGGGACAACTGGATGAAAAACAAAGCTGCTGTCGAAGAAACTTCTTGATGTTAATTGTGCTAAGCAGAGGCCTTCCTTCCAGAGAGGATAATGCATTCAGCATCAGCCCCCATTGCAGGCTTTCTGCCATCTGATCAATGCCACAGATCAGCCATTTATGAACCTAGAGGACTAGCTTACAGGCTGTGAATATCCCGTCCCTGAACATCACACCCCAGAGGGACAGAGCTCAGATTATACACAGAATATAAGGCAACCAGACACATCAACAGGCCAAGAGCACTATACCAGACCACCAATATAAATATATTAAAATCAGTGTTCAAAGCACTTGAAAAATCCAATTACTTGTCCCACTACTTTCAAAAGATTTATTTTGTAAATGGTGCCATATCTATTATTCTTTAATGCTATAAACAAATATAGATGTCATAAGTAATAAATTCTGTTAATTTCATAACCTTCATACAACTTAAGAATGTTTGACCATAAAAATAGAAAAATTCTAAGGGACAATATTACTACACTAGAGGCCCAGTGCACTAAATTCATGCGGGGGGGTAGTATCCTTCAACCCAGCCTGCACCCTCTCCAATCTGGGACCCCTAGAGCGATGCCTGACTGCCCTCTCACAATCTAGGACTGCTGACTCCCAACTGCGTGCCTGCTTGCCTTCCTGATTGCCCCTAACTGCTTCTGCCTGCCAGCCTGATCACCCCCTAACCACTCCCTGCCAGCCTGATCAATGCCTAACTGCTCCCCTGCCAACCGGACTGCACCTAACTGCCCTCCCCTGCTGGCCAGATCACCCACAATTGCCCTCCCTTGCAGATCTGGTCACTCCCCTGCTGGCCATCTTGTGGAGGCCATCTTGTGTCCATATGGGGAAAGCCATCTTGAACATTGGAGTGATGGTCAATCTGCATACTACTCTTTGATTAGATAGGATAGAGGCCTGGTGCACGGGAGAGGCCCAGCTGTTTTGCCCTGAAAGGTGGCCCAGATCAGAGTGGAGGTTCCCTTAGGGCATGAGGTGGTCTGAGTGAGAGGCCTGTGGTGGTTTGCAGGCCAGCCACACACCCCAGCGACCCAAGAGGAGGCCCTGGTATCTGGCATTTCTTTTTATCTTCTATAATTGAAACTTTGTAGCCTTGAGTGAAGGCTAGGGCAGGCCAGGGCAGGCAGAAAGCTTAGCTTCCTCCATTGCTGGGGAAAACCAAGCCTCCTGCTCGTTCCAGCCATTTTTGTTGGGATTTATTTAACTTCTATAATTGAAACTTTGTAGCCTTGAGAGGAATTCAGGGCCAACCAGGGTGAGTAGGAAGCTTGGCTTCCTCCATTGTCAGGGAAACACAAGCCTCCTGCTCACTTCATGGCCACAGCTATCTTGGGTGGGTTAATTTGCAAACTCACTCCTGAGTAGCCAGTGGGTGTAGCAGAGGTACAGTCAATTTGCATATTGCTCTTTTATTAGATAGGATTGTATCTTTTCTTAACCTCTTTTCTAGGTATTTAGCCTTCTTATTTTCAAAATCATATTAAGTTATCTAATACTATACAGGGTCCTCAACAGGTATAAAGCAGAATAAAGTACCCATCACCTTATCAAATGATAAATAAAATTTTTCAATTTTATCAAATATAGAATGAATCAAATTTTAAAGATAGATCCCCACCATACAGAGATGTTTATAAAAATCAAAGAGGTAATTTTTCTACAATAGTCTTTGAGTCCAATCAAAGTCTGAATATGAGTCTAAGTAACTGATATAAAATAAAGTATTGGCTTACAAAAGATAATCAACCCCAAACATTTCAAAAACACTCCAAAATTCATCAAAATTTCTTTTATATTAATATTTGTGGTATAAAGAGGAAAAAAGGATTCATATTTCAACAAGCCTTAAGTTCACATTTTATTCCTTTCATACATACACACACACACACACACACACACACACACACACCACAGGAATTCAGTAAAGTACAGGAATTAGCCTGAAGCTTTTCGATTATGAAATTAAAAATATAACAGCTTTGGAACACTTGGTAGTATAGAACTGCCCTCCACACCACAACCATTAGAACCTTGGCCCAGGTCTCTGTAACAGGGAGGTGAAAACATACTAGCAAAGCAGTAGCAGGACATCTCAAAATCTAAGTCATGCTATTCTGATCAATCATTTTGCCTTCCTAGAAATTTACACAGAACTCCAAAAGTCTCAAATTCTTTTAACTCTCCACTATCAAGCCAATTAGTTAACTTGCATATAACTATATTATTTACATATGAACTAGAGACCCAGTGTGCACAAAAATTCGTGTACTGGCGGGGGATGGTCTTTCAGCCTAGCCTGCTCCCTCTCATAGTCCAGGAGCAGTCAGGGGCTCAAGGCTGCCTGAACCCAAGGCTGCCTGAACCCAAGGCTGCCTGAACCCAAGCCCTCAAAGTCGCAATGGCTTTATTCAGATGGATGTCTGGATGGATGTCCTGAAAACTTCAGCCCCAATTAGCATATTACCCTTTTATTAGTATAGATTAAATGAGTGAGTATAATTTACAGTCTAAATATATTCTTTCTGGTACCCAAACAAGTGTTTTCTTTAGATTTGAAGTTTAAAAACACATGTAGTTTCTGAAAGCCTTTCCTGCCTCAGTAAATCTTACCCATTAATGACCTTTCTCCATTAGGGGGACAAACACGGGACTGAATTAGAAGAAAAATGTGTTAAATCCCTTAAGGCTGATTTTCCAAATTCTTCCTCTAAATATTTTGCTCTTCTTAGAATGCTTCTGACATGCTCACGCAGATCCAGAGCCTGGCCTGGAATTTTATTTCTGTGATGGGTAAGAGAAATGAAGCAAGAAACATCAAGAAATCTGCCTGATAAATCTTCAAAGAAACGAGTTAGAAATCTATTTCACTTCACCAGCCAGCTCAAATGCATATCAAAAATGCCTTGAGCAGAGCTTAGCAACAAATCTCAATGTAAACGTTAAACTGGAAACGGGGCAGAGAAACTAGGAGTTGCATCCCCTAGGGAAACACACTCGTCTCAGGAGCACATACACCACCATTAAAACTCTACTATTAGACAGAAAGCATGACCCCTTGTACACTTTTCAAAGCAACTGAAGAGTGTCCAATTGGCTGGCAATAACCTGGGTTTCATAAGATGCAGCTCTTCAGAAAAGAAATCCTTAGAATTTAGGCCAAAAAATAATATCTTGTTGGATGATTTCAAACTTGGATTGACTTTATGG